AGGAAAAAATCCCAGCCCTTGCCACTATAACATGGCATAATAATTAACAAATCATTGTTCATATGAGACTTTTTGTGGACTGATATCGAGACATGTTTGGATATTTCATTACGAACTACAACGTATGTATTGCTAAGTTATACCCAACATCAATTAGTAGGCACTATATGCAAAGCAAAATTAAAAAGGATGGCTTTTTAAACCCAATAACTATTGAACCACATTCCACATCCAAATTTTTCTTTACTGCTTCAATCAGTTATTTGTCTATTAGCTCTATTGACTCTTCTCCGGCATATAACCAATTGTCCAAACATGTACATACATTGATCAGATGCAAATATAAGTCTCATCGTATGCTAAAAGTATCAATATGAAAACCTAATTACTTGTTATGTTCATATCATGCAAGTATAAGTCTCATATTACCATGGGTTCCCAATTAAGCCTGTTAATCTTTGTCTTCTAATGTTCCCAATTTAGAAGTTATATCTTGTTAGAGGAACATATGAGTTTGAGATTCAGTCACCAAATATACAGCATATGCATTACCTTCCACCCTCCTAAATATAATGAAGGAGAGAATAAGGTGAGTACACTACTACATAGGCACTATCATACGCAGTAATTTTTTTAAGCACATTATAAATAGGGGAGTCAGCGAACTCTATTCATTTATGTATATATATAGAAATTACATATTCATGCTACGCCCTAGAAAATATTCAAGTTGAATGGACTTCAGTAGTTAAGAATCTATTTAGACTTAGAGCATCATAGTTAAACTGTTAAATGTGTAAAATGATCAATTTTATATAAAATGCATTGGAAAGTGGAAACTACAAGAATATGTTGGAGCTGCAATCAGCATTTATTTAAGCCAACCCTTTTACCCAACAAAACCAACATCCATAGCAGTAAATGATGCTCCCAACCCCAGATTTTCATTACTAATATGAAAACTGTCTTCAGATGTTAGTTGACAAAAATAGCATAATAGGCGTTTTAATTTGTTCAGCATGTTGATTACAAAATTAGCTTTGATGATTTGATCCAACAAGTTGATATGTATCATACTTTTTCGTACTAATGATTTTCATAAAATCTCATAAACTCATTTCTAAAAGACTTATTTATTGTGCTTTCTAAGCATGTTCCATACTGTATTTTCTGTTTTTCATTTCCAAACTGAATGTAGAGAACTTTGCAACCACATACTGCTAGGCACTTTTAATGTATTAACAGAATAAATTCAAAATTTCTACCAACATTAAACCCTCATACAGCCAACAAACAGATCAACAGATCCAGCTTCTAAACATCAGAAAGACTAATTTGAAATCTCACTCCTCTTACCTACGACACCGAAACCCTATGAACCATTGTCTGAAAAGTATTGACTTCCTATCTTCTAGAATCTATGAGAACCTAAAACACAATATCTCAATTGCAATTAATAAATATTTTTTTGTTAAAAGTGCATCCAAATTCTGTTTTGCAGCATTTTTATATCAGTTTCATAACAGCCAAACAGAAACAAAAGAAGATAAGTATGGAAGAGCAACCCAGAATCCTGACTCACCAGTTCCTACCGAGGACCTCGTCCGCGCGATATCCCGTAAAGATCTCGAAGACCTTGTTGACGTAAATTATTGGGAAATCGGGCTCAAGAGCATCGGATACAACGAAAGAACAAGGAGTAGTTGGGTAGTACATGAGTCCGGGCTTCAACGGAAGCTCGCTCTCTTCGCCTTCATCACCTTCCTCCTCTTCTTCATCATCTCTGGAGCATTTCTGCCTTTTCCCTGAGCTCTGATATTCTTCATCGCCATTCGGCATGGCCATGGTGGTGATGTTTTTTCTCCCTCTGTACAGAAGGAAAAGCATAGCATAAACATAGCTTGTCTTCAGCCGTAGGGTGTAGATAGATATTTATGCGTTGAAAATATCCCAACAAATTGCTCTGTTTTTCCGCCGGATTTGCGAAACTGCCACCCTATCTTTTCAGATATTTTGCGACTGGGTAGTGCTAGAGGGACCGCAGGCCGCTCATAGTTCTAGCTTTTGTTTTCTTATGCCCATTTTAGTTTTTACTTTTATTATCTTGGCTTCCCTCTTTTGTTCTATTAGTGTAATAATTTTTTATAATCACATTATTTTCAAAATACAATAACCCAATATTCCTCGTTATAACTTTACATGTTTTGCACTCTTATAAAGCGAACTTCACACCACCTTTCCCAATGAAGAAGGGACTAATGAGAGAAAGTAGAGAGTTGTGTATATATTTTAAAAATGGAGGTGGCTGCCTTTTTATACATTTTCAAAATGTAATTAAAATTGATAGAATAATTGTATAAATAAATTTTAAAATTGACATATTTTGGTGCAAATTTAAATGGATAATAAATTGCTAATTTCAAAGAAACGTTACTAAAAAAATTTTAATTTTTAATTAAATATCCACAACGAGCTATCTTGCCTATAAGGGGCTCGATCCCTTCCTTCCATTATTACACTTCTTTACTTTCAATGTAGGACTAAATTGCAAATGGAAGAAATTGTAGGACTAAACCATCATGTATACTAAAGCTTAGATCTAAATCCATAAGAGACCAACACGTGGCCTGTCCTTCTCTACCCTAAGCGCAACTTTAAGGAAATGATATCTAGGATTTCTGTTGTCGCTCGAAAACGAGATGAAAGTATTTTGGTGTCTTAAAATTAAGAGATTCCTGGTCAAATCAGCACCGAAAATCTTATCCAATCTTCGAATGGGGTGAGCTGGTTGTTTCTGGAAAGCAGCTGACCTGGAAGCAGTTACAGAGGGCCCGCTGGAGAAAAAATATCAAGAGAGGCAATCGGGGAAAGTCGGGGAGAAAATGTGGCGGAAAACGGAAGAGCATTGAATATGCAATACAAGAGAAAAAGGGGAGGTGGAGATTTGGGAACAAGGAGCAGAAATTCATGAAAGGGAGATGACTCAGAAGATCGGAAACAACTAAGCTGAAAAATAGAGGAGAAATCCTGGGAAGAGCTCGGAATCGGTATGAGGAAGAGATCAGTTTGCTTTTGAAGCTGCCTTTGAGGTATTTTGTTCTGTTATATTTCTATATTCTCTTCCTTAATCTATTGGATTCGATTTGATTATGGAGAAATCTTTAATTGGTACTAGGTACAATTGAATGTTGTGGATTGGACTGCGTTTTATGTGCTAAGATTTGCTCGGGAATCATAATTCTGAATTGAATTGAATTTTCTGTTTATTATCTTAAGCTGTCGCTGGTGGAGATAGTTTCTACTTCTGGAGAAGGAAGTCTGTTTCGAGTATTCCTTGCAGTTGAATGGTGAAATAGTTGGGTAGAGGAAGGGTGTTACTGATATGCAAGAAAGGAAGGCAGAAATGTCTATGTACTTCTATTGCCTTAATAGGTTAGGAAAAGTTAACATAAATTATTTGAAAATGAACTTGCAGTTGAGAATTGAGATTGAGCTGTTAACAACTTAACAATTCTTGAGAAAGTAGGTATTGAATCAGAATTGCACTTGCCAAGGATTGGTAAATATAACAGTACTAGAGACTAGCTTACACACTATGCTCTAACAAAGTTGTTGGATGCTTTCTGCATTTCTAGATAACATCTATAGGAATTGGATGGATTTTGTTTCTTCTACAAAAGGTTCTTTTTCTGTTTTTATATTGCTAAAAATGGAAAAGCTGAAGGAAGAGGCTTGATAAAAGATAAACTTTATGATGATGCAGTAGAATCATCATCAGTTGATGCAATCTGCAGGTTAGATAATCTAATCCGGGATAGTTTCATTAACAATAAAAATATGTTCCCTCATCATCAACCACTTCTTAGCACCTTAGCAAATAACAATAACAAGTTGGTCATGATAGAGACTTTTCCAAAATTAGAAGACCCAGAGAAAGAAGGGAGAGTATTTTATTTGAAGTTTTAATTTTTTTAATGCTAAGGAGTCGTTTGGCTAGCATGTGACTTTTAATTAGAATAGGAGTCGGCAGATTATCTTCAAGTTGGAGTAAAACTAAGACTCTTGACTATTATTGCTTAGTATAAGTAGTACTGTTAAGGTCTTGACAATTATTCTATGTTATCAGATTATATTTCAAAATAAACTTAAGTTGAAACTCTAAGTTTTATTTAGGGTTCTATCATTGATTTTACAAAGTTCTTAGCCTCCATTTCTTTTACCCTTACCTTCCCTCCATCATAGATTTTATATATTACAGTGTAAAACAGTTTATACATTTCTCACTCCCTTGGAAAATTCATTATTTAAAGTTATCAATTCCAAGAAACTTCATTTTAGAGGTAAAAAATTACGATAATCTTTTAGTAAATCAGTTTTTTGTTGAAATAAAAGATAAATTTTGCGTGATAACTTTTCATAATTAATTTAAAAACCATTTAATACCATCCTTATCCAAAGTCCATGGTCACACAAGAAAAGGGAAAACAATTGCACCACTTTTGTCAAATTTTTATTACTTTTTTGGTGGTAAACTGCTTCATTATTTGAGTCAATAACTGTAATCTAAACAAATCAGTCACATCCTTATCTATGTATTTCTTGATCTTCTGTTCTTGATCTTATTTGCATGCAATGATACCCAAGATCTCATTTCCAATCTCTTTAAATCTGCAGTTTCCACTTGCTTGGTTTATTGCCTTCTTTATCACACACAGGATTGCAGCTGAGTTCATCAAGTGACTTTATCATTATCATCTGTTTGGTAAGGATCTAGATTCATGCCATGCTTAGATTATGCTTGCCAAACATTTGGATCAGCATGGTTATCCAAAAGAATAGAAGTGAGGGGTTGTCTGGGATGAATTTTCAATTCCCATTTATTCTATTACCTTTTGCTATGATAATAACTATAGTTCCAAGTGTTGTGGGATGACCCTCACTTTTATCCCTACTTGGAGCCATGCTCAACCAAACGTGGGTTATTTGCAATCTAATCATGGCATGAGCCTTGTTCTTTACTAAAGTATTGGTATTTCCAAGCCAGAGAAAGATTTAATGAAGTTCCTATATAAGGGAAAAGGTGATGTTGAAAAAGCAACA